TATTCTTTGAAAACTGAAACTTGGATTTCAGCCTTTCTTGAGATGTCTGGATTCTTTTGTGAGTTGATTTTTCTCTCAATTCCTGTCCTATGAGCCAGTGCTAACCTTGGCTCTCTGTAAGGGAAAGTCAAGGACCCTGTCCTCAGGTGAAGTTTTCACAGTGATAACTGATGATATTCAGTTCATTTTGCAAGAGCTAAAAGAATTTGTTGCAGGCTTAAAATTGCAAACACACCTTTCATAGCAATGGAATTAAAGGGCTCTCAGTATCTTGCCTATTTTTACTCAGGCGTTTCTGTACTTGTTGCTAGTTCTTCAACTACCATCTTGAGGAAGAAGCTGGGTAGCAAGGAATAAGAAATGAGTGAGTCGTGGGGAACTGGAAGTATTTATTCAAATTCACTCAGCCTCTTAGTTATTCAGTTACTCCTTCATTCAATTAATAAACATGAGATTTCTTTTCTGTGATAAGCATAATTAATATCTCTCTCATTTCCATTCCCACTTCTTCCTGGCTAAAAGAACAGTAGTTTCTATCCTTTGGGTGAAATTATTCCCAGTCCCAGTCCTGTGCCCTACTTTCTAAGCCCCTCTCTGTAGCTAGGAATGATTACATGACTCTGTTCAGGCCAATGAGATGTGAAATGACTTCTGGGAAAATGTTTTCCTTCCTAATAAAGGGTGGGACAAATATGGTTGGCTTAGTCATTCATCTTGCCCCTTTCTTTCTTTAAATATAGATGTGATGTCTGGAGAGGCAGCAGCCCCCTTGTGACCATGAAACTATAAGCCAACCCACATAGTAAAGATGGTAAAAAGGAATGAAAGGAGGTCAGAAGGCATATTCAGGTCCCTGGTGACATACCTGAACTAATATTAAAAGTAGCTTACCTCTTAATTTCTTTTTGTGAGAAACAAACAAACCTATTTGCCACTCGTTTTCAATTTGGGATATTTGGTCCCCAGGGGGCATTTGGGAATATCTGGGGACATTTTTTTATTGTCGTGACTCGGGGGTGGTGAGGAGGTTACTGGCATCTTAATAGGTAGAAGCCAGGGATGCTATTATACATTCTACCTTCTACTAGGCACAGGCATAGTCTTCCACAACAAAGAATCATCCGGTTCAATATGTCAGCAGTGCTGAGATTGAGAAACCCTGGTTCAAGCACTAAATATGTTTGTTATCACAGTCAAATGCATTCCTAACTGATACACATTCCCTCATTTGGGAAACACTAAACATACATCATGGAACATGCATTATACCAGGCAAGATGCCAGAAGTAAAAAAATGAGTGAGGTCCACCACATCCCCGCAGAAGCTTACAGTCTAATGGGATAGATGGACATGTTTGGATAAAAATAAAAGTATATGTTCTAAGAGATATCAACATCCAGATGTGGGACAGAGGATGGAGCAACTACCAGGCAGCTCTGCAGAGCTTGGGCAGGCTTCAGAGGGAAGGCTACTGGGCTAGAGATTGGGAGGTGGGGAGGAGGGACCAAGTAGAGACTTTCCACCAGAGAAAAGAGGAGGTGTAAAGGCCAACCTTGTGCATGGGCCTGGAGGGTCCGAGGTTAGAGTGACAACAGCCTAAGGTATGTGAGAGAGAACGGTGGGGAAAAAATGAGAATGGCTGGCTGGTGCTTGTTACAGAAAGCCTTACCTACCGAGCTAAAAGCTTTGGATGTTATCCTGTAGGCAATGAGGAGTGGGCACAGAATTTTATTCACAAGAAAGACATGATTATATTTTTAGAAACATAACTAGTGGCAGTGTAAGGAATGTCTAGTAAACAGGCTGGAGTTGGAAAGACACATTTGAGGCTAGGCAAAAATTCAGTTGAGAGATTACCATTAGTATTCTGAAAAGTACAGCAAGAAGTAATCAAAAGGAGAGAATAAATGTTTAGGATGTTCTGTGTCATATGTTCTTTTGTAATTCATCCCCTCAACAAAGGTACTTTATTCTTGGCATTTTTTTTTACTTTATCGCTTTTATTTATTTATACTCTAAGGGGAAAGACACACAAAACTCCTCACTGAGGGCATCTCCAGAGTTGACAAATTGACTTTCTTGGATTCTAGAGCAATCCTTTGAGACCCAGATATTCTTGCCAGTGGAGGGTCTAGAGTGAGTCTAGACATCCAGACATTTTATAGTTGACCTTGATTTTTAAGTCTTTCGTATTTGGGGACTTTGACCCTTAATTTGTACTCCTTCAGGGTTTTTCCAGCGTGGTCCCTGGACGAAACCAAGAGGTAGATATACATGCTCATTAGCCACTCACCTACAGGGCTTCTTAGCTCCTGGCCATGAATATATCCTCCCTGTTATCAAGAGAATACGTGTAATGAGAACCTAGCTATATGGCAAGTTCCATACAAGGTGCTGAGAACACAGAGGAGGCACATTCTTGCCTTCAGCATCATTGGGTTTAGAATTATTTGTTCCACATTTTTTGAGTACCTACTCTGTGCCAGGCATATGGAGACATATCAGACATATGGAGACATTCATAAAGGCAGCAGTATATAAATGACTTTTTACGAGACAGTTCTCACCAAGGCACTGTGATTCTTCACAAATGTTCAGAAGCAACAATTGTGTCCATAATCCTTGACATTCACAAGGCTTCTCTATAGCTGCTAGAGATTCTGTTACTCCTTGGAAGGTGGTAGAAAATCAGGTAACTCATTAACAAAAAGGTCACACCAGAACCAGTATAAAAGTCCTAATAAATGTGGTTCCTTTTAAAGATCACTCATTCCCCAACTCCTTGGGCCATTACATGCTCTCTTTGCCACAGACATTTCAAGGACTTATTTTTAGAATCTATATCTGGACTTCCATTTAAAAGCCTCAAAGTTGGGCACCAGTGTGGCTCAGTCTTAAGCGTCTGCCTTCGGCTCAGGTCATGATCCCAGGTTCTGGGATCAAGCCCCATATCAGGCTCTCTGAGTCTACTTATCCCTCTCCCTCTGTGCTCTCTCCCTGTCTCTTGCACACGTGGATGTGCCCTCTCTCAAATAATAAAATCCTTAAAAATAAATAAATAAAAGCCTCAAAGTTGGTAAATTTTTGTCATGTACATGTGTTAGTTTTCAGAAATAGCTAAAATTAATTCAGAGTCAAGTCTAATAGAAAAGGTGGTCATACTGGGTGTTCCCAGAAGTCAAATAAAATAATTGTGTGCTTAGTTCTGAAAGAAGCTCCAAATAAAAAATACTTTGAATAACAGCATGGTTTGTTGGAAATAATGTGTTTGTTTCTGCAGCTGCTGAGAGGATCACCCCCACCCTCAATGATTATGAAAAACTAGTATCTATTCCATTAAATCACACATTTAGACTCAAACTCTTCTATGGATTAATTGTACACTTTTTCTGTCACTGCCAGGGAATTCTACAAGTTTACAATACTTCAGTCATTTCATTTTAATTACAAAGGGAAAACATAGGAAGAGAATAATGAGAAATAATAAACTATTGAAAGGGAAGATCTTAAAGAAAATTTAAGGTGTTATGTACATTAGGGAGATCTCAAATAGTCCTGGGACTACAGTATACAAAATTCCACGTGAAAGACAAGTAATCTTTCTAAGGTGGAAATTCCCTTCATCATGGGGTACAAAACTGTGATGTCCTGGGTCAGGGGAATAAATGTTATTCTGTTTAACAGATACTGATTTAACAACTGTTATGAAATGCATCCTGGGAGATATAGTTCTCCCTCCTGTGAGCTTGACTGTGGGAAGTGGGCCCTTCTGGAAGACTCAGAAGCCAAGTAAGGCCAACGAATCTGCATGCAATCCCTGAATATCTTCAGGATGTGGGTTCTGTGTAATCCTGCCTTCTCATGCAGATAAGGAAATGTCAAGTAACTTGCCAAATACTATATCCAAAAGTAGATTAGAACCCTGATCTCATTACTAAATAGCACTGTTTACTGCAATAGTTTAATAAACAAATGATAAGACTTTGAACTGAATGTGCAGTCCTATTTTACAGACATTTGCCAGAACACATCCCAACAAGTGCTGTCCTATGTGTTTGCCCCAGTAGAGACTTTCTGCTGACCATGCTTCAGAGCCCAGTGACCATGAAGCCAATGAATATTCAATCGTTTTCTGTGATGTCCCTCAACAGTATGACTTAGGGAGGCTTCAGCTCAAGTCACTGCCAGGTGACTTCTTTCATGCCTATGTGAGAATAGATAAATAGTTCCAACCCACATGGCCCCATGGATGAGAAGGTGTTAGGAACAATCTCTCTCCCCCAAGGCTCCATGAATAGAAAATAGGAAGGGCACTTCCAAGTCATTTTCCCAAAAAATTCAAAGATGATGGGGTGAGGAGGTATTTTAGGTTTGGCCAAGTGGCAGATTTGGGTGACTTGGGGAAACACTTCCCCATTCTGGAACCCGATAACATAATCCCCCAAATGCTGTCTTTCAGGATTCAGTCCCAAATGCCTACAAAAAGGTAAAGAGTAACATAAAACAAGTCTTTATCTTTTATTTACCTCTACCCGATAAACCCTGAATGACTCTGTTCCCTGCCTTTGATTGTTCTGTCTGCCTATTTCCGCTAAGAGTTTACAAAACAGCACTCCCAAACAGGAAGATAAGAGGCGCACCTATTTGTTGAATAACATCAAGGAAGAAAACTGCTAACTCATCTATTTTGTTGTTAAATTGCTGAAAAGGATCAAAATACCAATTAACTTGCTGGCTCAGAAATCTTTGATACCTTCGGATTTACTGACATTTTGAAATTCTTGTTCATACTTGCCTAATGGCTTTCTGATTACAAACAAAGAAGTGCCAATCTGTTTAGCATTTGACCTGTTTTCTTAAATATTTTTATGTATTCCACACTTAGTGGCTAAAAATACTTGACTAGTCACATTCATGTGCTAAAATAGTTTTTCTTGTTCGACCTCCAAATTTAAGAGGAAAAAGGAGCTCAAAGACACTTCTTTTTTAAAAGCCATTTTGTTATTTTTTAATTTAAAAACTCTCACTGTAAGGAAATTTCTTTGCCTTTCTTCTCCATGGAATGTAATGGCATTGGAAGACTCGATGAAGCAGGATACCATATTGGAATCCATTCTTCCTGGAGAAAAAGTTGGAAAAATGACCTTGAGCATAAGTTTCAGAAAGGAGGTAAAAAGAAACTAAAGATGGCTGATGGGGTGCAGATTTTATAATGGGTTTAATTTTCCTCTCTGGATGTCCTCAGATAGCAGTGTATCTCACAGGTGGCTTTTTGTTATTGTTACCCTCTATTTCCTCACATTTTACAAAGTTTTGTAAAAATTCCACCCATAATCACATGCTACACAATGCATCCCTCTGGCCATTGTATAGAAAATAATATGTTTTCACTCCTAGATAAAGTCAACTTCTGGGTCTAAAAAGCTCTAAAACAATTTATTTCAATAAACACTGAATTCCATGGACAGAGGAAATTAAAAGTGTGGATGCTGAAGACTGCGTGGGTTCAAATTTCTGCTCTACCACTTACTAGCATGGGACCTTGGGAAAGTCACTTATGTTTCTTTCTGTGCCTCAATTTCTTCATCTGTAAAATGGGAATAATAATACAGCCTAGCTTACAGGGTTGTTCTGTGGATCAAATGAGATTATACATCTAGGACATTCTAGGTGCTATGTAAATGTTAGCTATCCTATTATATCATGCCATTGTTTTAGCCTGAGAGAGGATTTGGGTGCCTGGGTGTATTCACATCCACTGGAATCTCAACCCACTTATGGAGGAACACTTTCATCATATCAATTAAGTATCTGGAGGCTCTGAAATCTAAGGATATATGTAACTTATATATCTATGGAAGTTTTTATTTTTTAAAAGTCATCAGAAGGGTGCTTACTCTGTCCTTCAGAGCACTGCAATTTAGTTGGAGCACAATAAAAATGCAACATTTAAGCAAGTAAATGGTAGCTGGTAACTAGCCAATTAAATGTTAGGAGGCAAACAAGCAGGAGGAGCAGTCCCAGGGGACAGGGAGAGCACCAGGACAACTATATTTAACATAATGTATTTCCCAAGATTCTGGCCTGACCTTTTCACAAACTCTTCAAAGAGGATGCGGTGGGAATACCCCTGCCTGCGGATGCTGACTGTCTCCAGGATCCCTGTAGAGCGGAGCTGGGCCAGCACACTCTCTCGGGAGAACTTCAGGGCCTCTCGGTCATCATTGGGTTTAATGCAGCGCACAAAGTGGGGCTGTCCGACCACCATTTTGGAGAGCAGATCCATCAGAGAATACTACCAGGGGAAAAAATACACGTGAAATGAGGTTACCACAAACATAGTGGGTAATTTTTTTTTTTTTTAAAGATTTTATTTATTTATTTGACAGCGAGAGACACAGTGAGAGAGGGAACACAGCAGGGGGGAGTGGGAGAGGGAGAAGCAGGCCTCCCGCCGAGCAGGGAGCCCGATGCGGGGCTCGATCCCAGGACCCTGGGATCATGACC